AAAAAAAAAAATCAGTCCAGATTTTCCACCTTTGGGTTTACACCCGGTATCTGATCAGTAAAGGTTTAAAATCAGGCTTGAGCCATCTTAGAAATGTGCTCCAGCTGGTCTGGTCATCCTCACAAAGATGAACAGCTTTTGAAATGGGCAGATTGGGGCCAAATTTTGTCCTTCTTGACTCAGCTGGAATAGTGAGGCAACTCTCAAATGCTGGAGACATAAAAACGAGATGGCTAAGCACTAAAAGGAAAAAAAAAAAAACCCCACTTCTGAATTTCTTTTAACATACATAAACGGAAGGAAAAATTAATGAAGTGAGAACCAGCGCGACTGGCGTGCTCACAAAGGGTCAGGTAGATCTTTTGGAAAGGGCTGAAGCGTTACCAACCGTCGCGGCAGCGCGGGTCCCCGACCGCAGCGCTGCCCCTGACTGCCGCGTTCGCTGAGTTAGGACAAACACAGCGTGTCAACCACTGGCCTGAATTGAAAACGATCCATCCGGATTTATTTATTCCTACTAAAACAAAATCCTGTTAAACGGTACGTAACTGCGTCTCTACAAACTCACAGCTATCTGCCAAACAATAAAAATTCCAAACTACAAAAGATGAGTTGTATTCAGTAAATATAAATGGGAAATTTAGGCTTTTGTGTAGAATGTTTATCAGACTATTTACAGTGCAACACAGATCGTTTGAGTTCAGATCTCGCCAGCTTCTCTCTCTTCTGATCTCTTGGAACGAGATTTGCCATTTGTGCTCTCGTGCCGCCTCTCAGAAGAGCTCTTCTCTTTTCTCTCTCTGTCTCGTGACTTTTCTCTTGAAGATCGATCTCTAGAAGATCTGAAGTACAAAGTAAACCGTCGCTATAAGCTTCACAACTCAAAGAATTTTCAAATACGCATAAAACAACAACATCTGTCCCTAACAGGGCTGTGACATAACACAAGTTCCTTACAGATATGTGCCTAGGTACTGCGATGCCAGCAGCGTCGTCCCCCAGGATGGTGACTCTGCTCCCTCTACAAGCTTTATGTAAGAGAACGCTGGTTTTGCAGCGCTGAGCGCAGGGCGCAGCCTTTGTTACTCTTTCCTTATAGTGATCCTTTCAAGCTGTTCCCACAGGGGCTCTCTGAGGTTTTCCCTGGGCCCCTCATTAGTTTACTGGCCCATACTGAAGTGCCTGCAATTTCTTCCTCGTCTATCACTCAGCTTTGTGTCTTCTAGAAGAGGATTTTTTTTTCCATCATGCTCAGCCACCTTAAAACCCAACTGTATTCTTCGGATTCAAATGCTCGCTCAGCCCTGGGCTTTTTCTAGTTTGCATCCCGACAAGCGCTGTCCTCGGCAGCACCCCGAGTTCAAAGCCAGGATGATACAGATTTATATTCACAGCCCACAAACACGGGCAAAATCTTTTCACAGCCTGCCCACACAAGAGCTACAGATTTTCAGCAGGGCTGCAACTGTATCCACCCACGCAGAATTAAGCAGAGGGCTTCCTGTTAGGAAAAGGCTGATCCAGAATGAGCTCTGGCAGCCTGTACCCCTTCAGAACCGGGCAGAGGCTTTCACAGACTCAGCACGTTTTAGTCTAGGACTCAGTGCGCAGGTTTTTCCTTTACAGTCACAAGAAGAGGAGCTGGGAGGTACCTTAGAGGTTCCAGCTTTCATTCATGCTGATTGTAAGGTCTGGAAATACCACACAATTGATACATTAAAACCTTACAGCCCTCTGTATCACATGAGCCATTTCATTTTCACTAAACTGTGTCATTTAACCAGAACACAACAGGAGTGAGTCTGATGAGATTAACTCTTCCTGTTCCCACAATGCCTGCTGCCCGTAGTCCTCCTACCCCGAGAGCTCCAGATCCCGCGACAGGCTCTCCGTTTCTTTCTAGAAGTGAAACCTCAGACCAGCAGAACCTGAATGTAGGTTTCATTAATTCTCAAGGTGAAAACAGAAGCTATTTTTTTCTTTCAGGGAACAGGGTTTTTCTGTTTGTTCTCTTGGTTTTGTTTTATTTTCTTAAACTGATCCTGGTCTCTCCCCAGTTCTCAGTAATTTTGTGAAAGTACGTCAGCTAGCCAATCCCCCTATGATCTCGATGGGCTGATTTGAATGTGTTCAAGGTTTTCGAAGTAATCCCTTACCTGCTCTTTAGTAATAGTTATTACAGGGTCTTCCTCACTTCCTAATTGTCCAAACTTCTTTTCTTTATTTTTCATGTTCAAGACAGATTTAAAAAAGGACTTTAGTATCTCAGCCATTGGAGAATCAACAGTATTTACACACCCCCCTCAATTATCAACAGACTTATTTTTTCAGACCATTATTTCCCTCCCCTTCATCAGGTATCTTTAAAATCTGTTCTTACCCCTTAGCTAAAGTGACACAAAGACATACAACAGTAAGTTTGTTTCTAGAATTGTACTCGAGTAGTGGGGCCTTATCAGCTGAGACAGTGCTAAAGCACTCCCCTATTAATTAGGAGCATTTAAAAAAAAAAAAAAAAAAAAAGAGCCAGATCTAACTTCAACAAGCACCTTGTGACAGACTTGCTCCTGGGCTTAGAAGGGCTGCAAGGAAACAATGACTCCTTTCAGTTTTTCAAATACTCCTACATACGCTTGCCTCATCCTTCCTCCACCACAGGGGGTGTTTTGCTGAGTTTCAGAAGAGACTTAAAGCCTTCTTCAGAGTATAGTGCTTCTCCTCAGCGACAGGAGAATGGTGATCTACTCCTCCTTCTGGCTGCCTTTTCCCCTCCCTCTAGCGCAGATTCCTAAAGAAATATGTGTGTCTCAACCAGCCGCCTCCTTACCCTAACAGGCGGCTTCCCCCAGGTCCCAAATCATACATTTCCTTCCCCATGCCACCACCAAGAGAAAGAAACTGGGAAGCAGAAGGCAACCACAGAATAGCATCAAAACTGCCTCTCAGTTACTTGGCTTTCACGGGCCTGGGGGGGGGCTCAGTTAGCTCAAGCCGGCCTTTGTGCTGCTGCTCATACAAGAAACCCAGCAACTTCTCAAGGCTCAGCACTGCACATCAGGGAACCAGTTCTATCTCCTAGACTCTCCTCTCAAGTTGGGATCTCACTGTACAGTTACCGCCCTACTGCTCTCATGTGATTCATCTACAAACGGCCACTGGGAAATCCCACTTTGGCCCAGGAGCTGGTACCGGACGCTACAGCTGCTAACGTGAGAAACCTGTCGTACACCTGCTCGCTCTAAGGGACTGGGGCTCACTGTGATGCCAAGGACTCCCCTTTCCAGAAGCACTCGTGTCAGGAATACATACTTGTGTTTTGAACTCCTGTCTCTGGACCCCCGTCGGTGACCTCTGCTGTGGCTGCGGGAACGGCTCCGGTGGCGCCTGTGTCGGTCTCGGGACCGGGAGCGAGACTTCCGTCGTTCACGGGAAGCTGATCTCGAGCGTCTTCGCCTCCTATCCCGAGACCGTGATCTGAAGAGAACACAGATTGCCTCAGACTCCGGAGACGGGCCGGTCCATCGGATCTGCACACCTGAGCCCACCTCCCAGACGTTTCTGAGCCACAAATATCCAGAGCATCGGCACTCACCCCCCCCCGGCCACATCCCTACCAACACAGGAGGCAGATCACCCACAAGGCGGACATCTCCCTCATCTCCTGGGCCTCATGTCAACGGGTAAATGAGCTGCTGGGAAGCTTACATAAAACGTTCCCACCATTAATGTAAGCACGTGCCAATGCCTAGCGCAGAGCTTACCAACCATGCCTCACTCAGCGCGAGGGCCGTACAAGAGAACTAAGTGGAATGTGATATTACCATAACCCATATGGCAGTTCGCCAAAAGAAAGCCTCCCTTGTGAAAGTACCGTGCTTTAGAAGCAGATTTGTTTCAATCTGCTCTAAAAACAAAACAAAGGATCCCAATGTATATGGAAAACAATAGAGAGCAAGATCTCCAGGTAGGTGAGCACGGAGAGAAGGCTGTCAGACCGCTAAGGCAAGCTCTTCACAGAGAGGTGGGGGCTTTAATCTTCAACCTCTGTATTTTTACGTCTGACATATTATATATGTAACAGATATTTCAGACATTAAAACTATGAAAGTATATTAGATATTATTGAAAAAAAGGCATCAAGTACATTCTTAGACTCATACTCAGGAGCGCACGGCACCCTCTGTCCTGACCGGGCTAGCCAGCATCTGCTTCCTAGCCCAAGGGGGACATTAAGTTGCGCAGCACCCCTGATGTGCCCCAGCGGTCCTTCCCACCCCTTTCAGGGAACAAAACAAAGAGACTGGGGCACTGAGTGAACTCCATTTGTCAGACCCTGGAAAAACCTCAGTAGCTACACAGAAACACAAACGGGTATTCGGGGGAACCGTGGGAGAACTGCACACTCACCTTCGACGATCTCTATTTCTTGATCCAGACCTAGAAAGAAGAGTTAAGCAAGAGAAGGTATAATGTAGTCAGTGGGTTTTCAATAAAACAACCCATTCACCCTGGCAGCTCTTCACAGGAACACAACAATAGCCCAAGTAGCATCTCAGTTAAAAAAAAGCTTGTCATAAAACCATTAAAACATTTAGTTATCTTCAAATTAGGGGGCGGGGGAAATGGGAATTTGTCAAAAATTGAGGAACTTTGTAGAAACACTAGTTTCTACATGCAGAGCTTCTTGTCAGAACAGAAAAGGTCTACAAACCAATTCAGGCTCTGTTAATAAAACACCATAAGGAACCTTTCTAACTTTAAGTTTGCTGGGCATATTTCACATATACACTTCACCCTCTGCAGTCTGGTATCAACTTGATCAGCTCTTAACATTTTCAAGAAAAAGTGCCGCTCTCCAGTCAGAAAGACACTTGACAGTTGTCTGACTTCGGTTCCTTTGAGGCAGTTGCACATTTAAAAAGTTTTAATAAAGAGAAAATCCAGGATTTTCTCACTCCTTTATTTAACAAACATTAGATAGAAATTTGCATCAATGATTTTTTTTTTTTTCTTGTTTGGGAAAGACAAGCTAGAAAAAAGAGAGGGGACACAGACACAAGGGAGAACTATTACTGAAACTAACCAAGATAGGCAGAAAATCCTTCATCCCAGATTTAGAAAGCAACATGAGAACAATCACCCAATTCTCACTACTCTTTCTCACATTTCTGTGGTTTCAGAGCTCATGTACGGCACTCTAACCCTCACGCTGTAAGCAGTAGCTTTTGCCAGTCTGTAAATGATGATGTCACAATTCTTTCAATTTCTGAAGCGCCATTACTCAGCGCCACTTAAAATACCACTCCACATGAAAGATGCACCCTCCCTTTTCCTCTACAGCCATGTTTCAGAGGCAACCTACACCAAAACTTCGCACGCTGTCTGAACAGTCTCTTTTTGCTTTAATTGAGAAGCGGCCGGTCTCCTTGTTTAGTGACTTAGAGAGTCACTCTTGTAACTGCTCCGTCTCCCCACTGCACACAAACTCACAAGGGGTGTTGCAGTTACACAGGCACAGAGCTGTTCTGGCACTGTACCAGGAGACACACCTGCAAGCTACGCACAAAATTTTAAAAAAAAGCAATAGAGAAGCATCTATTTTAATAACATCATTGAAACCATACCTGGATAAGATAAGATTAAGAGAATCAATGTGCACTGACATTCCTTCACAATGAAATGGGATTGTTCAATCACAGTAGAAATAAAACCCCCAAATTTAGAAAGGAATTCAGGCAGAAGGGCTGGAAACAAGGTGGAGCTGAACTTGGAGTCAGGCAAACGAACCACGCACTGAGGCAACTCACAAGACAACAAGATGAAGGAAAAGCTGATAAACCAGGAGAGCAAGGCAATAACCACACACCTCCTTTTTCATGCAACAGAACCTGACAGAGCAGCAGGACCTCCTGTAGATGCCTGGCAGGCAGCCGAATTTTTTTTTTTGGTGGTTGTAATTACTCCAAGTTCTTTATGTTCTTTTCCTCCTGATCACTTTATTCTGAATCACCAGTGCACATATCCACATAAAGCCATTCCACATCCCCTGAAAAACCTGGCTGCCCTTCCACGCATACGATCTGAGCAGGAGTTTGCACAATGAATTCCCGATAATCACTCCCTAGCGCTAGACTTCAGAATTCAGGAAGCATCCAACAAAACAGCACTTTCCTTAATATCAGTATACAACAGGAGACAGTGCAAGACTGATGTCCAAAGAAGTGAGAGGCTGACCATATTTATTATTTCCCCCCCCCCTCTTTTTTGTCCCTGTATCACAGAGGCTGCATCCTGAGTTTCATAAGTTGTATTTTGTCCAACTTATGACAAAGGAAATCCACTTGGTAACTCCACCTACACTGGTTTGCTGGTGTACTATGGAAACAAATACTGAGGTCTGCACTTCCAAGCATGCCACCACGGAATTTCAATCTTGAGAGATCACTGCGCAGCCCGCAGTCACCAGTAACACCAAACAACACAGGACTTGCGTTTATTTACGACAAGGGGTGACAACCCAGTTCACTCATTCCTATGTGGAAATCACAGTTTAGTTGACAAATTAATAAAGTCTGTGAGAGCTAGAGTTTCACAAGTGAATCTACAGGTTTCCATAGCATGTCACAGTGCCTGTAAGTCACCAAAGATTTCTCAAAGTCAAGCAGTACCCTTTCTCTTACTGAACAACACCGTGAAGATGCTGCATATGAAGATATGACAAGAAGAGTTACAAAGGAAACATGTTTTTCTGGGGTTCCTTGAAGTATCAAGCTCTGGTTAAGGGAGGCAGCCTGAAAGGCAGCAGAAGTCACCAACATGATGTTGCACAGCTCCCAGAGGAGAAGGTGCTGAGAAATCTGGGCTCTAGTCCCAGTTCTGACACTGAGTGTCCACTGGGAAAACTATTTTCCTTCTTTGGGTCAAGTTCTCATTTTGGAGAGGCAAATAATTTGACCTCCTCTGTATGGCACTCCTGGCTCCCTCATAACATACTTTTCTTTGGTACCCAAACAGAGGAGCTGTATGGTACAGGTGCCTCCACACAGAGCGAGAACAGACGCTGGCCACAGTCTCTAAGTAGTGGCACAGATGGAACCAGCAAGAACTCAGACTTTAGGCCAACTCAATGCAGTTCTTAAACCTTCATATTTAAAACATTAAATAAACATTCAAAAGTGGTCTTCAAACCCCCTCATCAGATGCATCCACATACGGGCTACCTGTGAACACAAGAGGCTCCTTAACTCTCAAGAACTGAGGGTTTGTTGGGTGGTGGTTTTGTTTTGGTTTTTTTAAACCACAAAAACAAAACCACAGACGTGCCACAGGAGGAAGAAAACCAACATTTTGGGGAGATACAGACCAAGAGATCCACAGGACTCTTCCTGAAGGCAACTCTGTTGAGCAATTTTCACACAGAAATGACCTCTAGGAAGAAGAGGCACTACAGAGACGGATGTCCTGGTTAGATGTGGTCCTGCTGCGGGTCAGAGCGAGCCTGCCATGAAGCAGCTGCATGGGAAGACGCTTCTTGTTTCATTTCCATCTTTCTGACCATAGCAACAACATACATCAGTCCCTTTCGATTAACTCCTGCACTCATCAGCCAGTTCCAGATTCTGCAGCTCCCAAATATAACTGCATTACTGACAATCTTGCCTGGATGCCAGAAAGTTGTGAGGCTCTACGTGAAGTGCTGCAGTTCAGGAGAAAGCTACAGCATGAAGTGGCATTTTGTATGGCACCAGGTAATCCACAGGGAGAGAGAAACCACATAAACCACTCCAACTGGAGGACGTGTAACGATTTGGGGCTTACGTTTTCACGATACACCAAAATCCCCAAGCTGCAGACCACAGAAAACCAAGCTGCTTCGATTCTGGTATTTATTTGCTAGCATTTCCAGCAATGGATACCCAGAAGCTAGCACCATCTTAGAGCATACTGCAGCTCATATCTCATATGCATCAGACATGGATGGCTGAAACACACTCTTCAGTAGACACTGAAGGTCAAAAAGAGCTTTCCACAAGCAGCAAGATTGGGGGTTTTTTTTTGACCCAAGAAGTACATGAGTAGAAACACATGAGGTAACTGGGGAGATGCTGTGACAATAAGAACAGCATTCCTACTCGGCCACTTCCTCTGCCTGACCATTGCAAATAACCAACCTCTCCACAGCAGGCTGTTTAACTGAGCTGTTTACACACACAACGCCTGCTCAAGTGAAGAAGAAAGAGTTTTTCCAGTTCAGCTGGCAAGAGGCAGAAGAGCCTGTCGTCCTGAGAATACAAACATCACAACCACTCCCAGTGCTCAAGGACTACACACGTATGAGCAGAAGGTGACACATATGGCCACAGCAGCTCCTCGGGATCCCTCGGATCCCCTAGGAAGCATTTTCCAAAGCTGTGCCAAAGGCACCTCGCTGTTATTGTAGAAAAGTTTCTGACCAGGACAGGCAGTCTGCCATTTGGTGTGGGGATACCAGCTCCATTCTGCTGCCATCTCCTAGCCTAGAAGGGAGGATGGCCATCCAGGGAATTTTTGCAGGACTGGTGCCATTTGAGCAGACCTAGCACTTGCTCATCTTAAACTTTCCCCACTCAGATGCACTGGATGAGGGCATTTTATCCAGATTTAGATTCCCAAAGGCAGGGACTAGACCAATATAAGCCTGAAGACTACAGGGAGCTCATATCTTTCAGATACACAATGGAGGTTAAAACAACACGCATACAATCACTCTAAGGTGGAGGTTTTGTGCATTTGTTTTCATCTTTGATTGAATGCCACAGTGCTCACACGGCATCCGGAGCATGTCCAACAGCAGCTCCAGCAGCAGATGCTGCTTTCCTGCAATGCTCTGATACACGAAACCAGACTATTTCAAAACTAATTTCACAAACCAGTTACCAGCTTCCACTTACCGTCTGCCCATTCTCTCCTCTCGTTCTCTCTCCTCTCTTCGTCTCAAACGATCCTGGTTTCTCTTCTCTTGCTTTTCTGCCACCGTTTTCTAGGAAAAAAAAAAAAAAAATCACATTGCATTTCAGCCATACAGTAACAGGTCAGAGAGGTCTGTAGGGAGACTGCAGATTCCAGTAGTAAGACAAAAGAACCATCTCACTGCATTTTGCATGTCCATATCTCTATCAAAGTTCTCACTTTCCTCACAACTTCACTAATGTACATGAGTGCAAGAAATGACACACCCTACTCTGCTTTGAGTGCTTGTGCTCTAAGAGACAAGCCCGTAAGCTTTGAGACAAAGACCATCTCACCGTCAGTTTACATGACACACAACGAAACAGTGCTCTGGCCTCGTGCCTGTGATCAACCGAGGGACTGACCTCAATAGTTAGCGAATAAGGCACATGAATCACAACTCTTACTCAAGCAGTCTAAAGGTCTCCGTTTGCAAGCAAGGCCAGTACTGCAACTCCATTACAAAACCTTCCAGAAAATTTCTAATCACTTCAGCTACTGAAGATCTCCTTCACTGACAGCACTATGTGAAACTTCGGTTCAAGCACTTCGTTAAGAGGTCTGAAAGTGCTATTCAATAATCAAAAAACCCACACTGATGAACTGCAGCCCAACCAATGAGAAAGAGCAATGGTATAGATGCACATATTTAAGGAAGAAATGACAGCAGTGGTCTGGTTTGACTAATTCTGAGGGTACGTACTTAGTTACCCAGAAATTACAGACCACGTGAGGCTGCAAAACCTCCATTTGAAGTTTCAGGGATTCTGCAACCAGAAATTTCTGGGCTTCTACAAGCACTCTGCAAAGAATCCCGTATGAATTTAATAAAAGCGTTGAACATCTTCAGAACTACAAGGAGAAGGTTTAAACCAGACAGGATTACCCTCAGCTGATCCAGTTTCTCACGAATCTGAATGAAACCCAAGTGTAATTTGCCTCCAAAGTGGTCAGCAAGACGCCGGTCGTTGTCATGGAGACCCAGATATGCTGAACAGACTTCACACACACGCAGCTTCTGCTGCTGGAAACTGGATGCAGGCATTGAATTTCGGTATTCTTCCTAAAGGGAGGCAAAAAAACCACACAAATGTCAGGGAACCCTTACATAGTCACAACCCTCCAGAGAAACCCCGTAAAGAATTGTCCTGCTGGCTTCAAGGATCAAAAAAGCACCCTCAGTACAAAGGAGGTGCCATACAAAACACTTTGCGAGTGCAGCTAACCCGACCGTCTATCCCTGCAAGTGACTAGTGACCAAATATTTCAGATCACGAATCCCCCCACACCCCAGTCAGCTCTCTTCACTAGATAAAAGTTTCTATTAAGCTTTTCTTCATCTATCACGCTACACTGCCAACCGCTTGCTGGTATTGCTGAAACTAAAAAAAAAAGAAGGTGCTGGCAACATCAGAAAAGAGGTAGGAACCGCCCAGCTGTTTGTCAAGTGCCCAGCCTAGCCCAGTCTGCTACGACAATTCAGAGGAGAACCAAGGCCATACCTCTGCCTCTTTCTTTTTCGCTCGGACTTTCTCCACTTCCATCAGGATCTTCTGAGACTCATCAACATTTCCTTCAGCTCCCAGCTGTTCAGCTTTAGCTAGGAGTTTTCCAATGTCTTCATTCAGCTCATGTACTTTCTCTGCCTAAAGAGAATAGTTAGTTTTTAATAACGCAAAAAACTTGCTAAAGCTTGCAGGACAACTTTTCCTTTTTCTCTAAAAAAATATTGTTTAACAAAAGCAGTTGTTGGAAGATGACCATAAATCCTCAAGAGTCAAAGGAGTCCCAACAAAAAGGGACTGGTGGGCCAAGTACAGGCAGTGCAGTCACAGACACATAGCAAAGAGAGAAGCTGGACATGGAGAGGACACCATCAGTTCTGCCGCAAACAGCGGCACATTTCTGGCTTACAGGACAGGATAGAGTCTGCAAAACCAGCTTCAGAAATGTTTTGTATTGTCCTGATGAAGGAAGTTCCCAAAGAGGAATCTTCATGAGCATTTGTTAAGTAGAAAGACAACAATCATGGGATGGATTTACTATTCTAAGCTATTACATTAACACTGAATAGTGGGGGGGTGAGAGGGGGAACAATGCTTTATTGCCACGCTAAATTTTAGAGTTCATGTCTTACACTACTATGGCCCTCTGAACAAGCAAGTTTGTCACAAGAACGGCCAGAACAGCATTTGAGGAGAGGATGGCTGGAATCCATAAAGCCTTTGAGGAACCTAAGTTCCCAGTATTGATGCTGTCAGAGACAACAGAGCACCAGTGCTCCTGCACGGACTTTCAGAACAACCATTTAATGAGAGGACAGTACCTTTGCAGACACTTCAGCACTGATCTCTTCCTGTGTCTCAGCCAGGCGTTTCTTGGCCAGTTCTGTTCTCCTGTCACACTCTGCGATGAAGGATTCCAGGTGATCCATTGCCTGCACGTTCAGACAAAGAATTGTGAATAAAGATGCTCTCCGTGCCAGATCTAGCTTTGACAGCCAACAGCTAGCTGGTGCAATCCCTGTATAACACACAACCAACCTCAAGAGCAGACGCCTTGAGGGAAAACATATGGCACTTTGCAGAAAAAGTAAAATTTGATCCCTGCCCTCAAGTCTGTCATCTGCCCGGAATCTGACACAGTTCCTTTACTCTGACACGTAACAGGATGCTCACACGAAAACTGCTTCGCACTGGAACTTCCAACGCATGAGCAACAGGTAAAAAGACAAAAAGCACTGGAATAACATGAAATGGGAAGACAGAATTGTTCTTCCACTTGATTAGTTCCATTATAGAAAGTTAAATCTGGCAAAAGCAAAACCACAGAGCAGGTGGCTTTTCATGTCAAATCTTCTGGGACAGTCACCGGGTTACGATGACCTGGTACAGAGCAGCAGGTGTGGGACGCAAGGAATGCCAGAGGAGCCTCCCAGCTTGCTGGACTAATGGGGTTGCAAGGACCAGAATTACTTTTACAAATTCAAGTCAGCAATCAAGCTGGCATTCAGGAAGGGGCTGCACATTCTTGTCAGATAACACATCAAATAACATGGCTAGCTGAAATGCCCACTGAGTTCTACTGTTCAGCCAAATAGCTTCAAAGAGGCAATGCCCACAAAAGTAACAAAAATTTATCCGTACTCACATCCAGCTCAAAAAACAGGTCTCTCTCTTTACTTGCAATCTCATAATCTGCTCGCAGTGCCAAGTCATGGATCTTTGTACATTCTCCCAGGTCCATTCGCTGTTGAAAAGAAAAAGGAAAATCAACGTAAGAACCCGCCATTATGGCAACAAGCAGCAGATAGTTAACTCAAAATACAGCCTCTTTAGGAAGAAGAGCTTCCTCTTAACCTGTCAGTAACAGAACTAGCCAGAAGAACAACATGCTTGCTGGAACCTCTCTTTTAGGTGTTCCTGGAACAACATTAAAACACCCCAAATGCTTTAAGTCCAGTCCTACTCCTGCTCTAGGGCACGGCACAGCCTTACAAATTGCTGGGAGGAGCTGGGAAGGTGCAGCACCTCCTTCAACAGGCACTAACTCCAAACGCCTCCTATTACAGAGCTACAGCACAGCAAAACATACAGCTTTGTACCCTGTTCAAAGCTCACCTGGAAAACACATCCATGTCAGAACAAGCCCTAGCAACATACTGAAAGATACCAAATCATAGAACAGACTGAATGCTTCCTATCAAGAACAAATGGATTTAAGGGAATAAGGGGTATGGCCAGCAGAAAAGCACAAACCCACGCCCAGCAACAGCAGACTCGTAATTCTACAGCTAGCCCCTTCCCGCATTCAGCTGTGGCCTGGAATTTTAAAACCTGCCCAGCAAAACTAATTCCCACGCAAAAGCCCATCTAATGAGAGACTTCTTGAGAGCATCTCCCTTCCCAGAAAGCTCTGACTCGCATGCTGCCCTTCACTCCCACTGCAGTTGATGCTATTTAAATTTATTTTTCCCCAACCTAGTAGTTAACAGCCACATGATGCTCTCAAAACATGGAAATTGCATTTCAACCTTATCTATATGTAACAGAGAACATTTCTCTTATTCTTAAAATAGAAAAAGAATATGACATTGTGAAAGCCAAAATAATAAAAGGCCTCAGCGCAAGCTACACCATGAACAGCAGGGTACATGTCGTCACAAGAAGGAACACCCCAGCCAGCCATCCTCTTCTCTCCCAGACACCACCGGTCCCAAGGAGCCGAAACCTGAGCACAGCACAACAGGTGTCAACTCACTGAACTGCACAAAAGCTAACTGCAGCTAAATCGGGATCGACACAGAATCCCTGCCGGGAGTGCCAGGGACACCTACGGGAAGAAACGCACACATACAGCAGCAATGCAAGTGTTTAGAATGAAGCAAAGCAACTAAAACAAGCTCCACCAGGTAATGCTCTGGGTTTCAGCAGTTACCCATGTTATTAGCTTTTCTTTTTTAAACAAAGAATACAATTCTGGATGACTTGCCACTATTCAGTCTTCCTCATTTTGCTTAGATTTACCAGAAACAGGCCACAGCCAGCAGGCTACAGAAACAGACACTGTATCCAGGAATAGTCCTGCTCAGCTCTCTAATGGTAGAAATGTAATGCCTACAAAAAAAAGCGTTCGGTACTTTCAGAGCTTAATCATGTCAAGTCTTCAAGCAAGCCTCTTCAAAGAATGCTAGTGAGCTACTGTTATGTACCACAGAAATAGCTTAATAGCTTTCCACTTAAATCTTTTATTCTTACAGTTATTCTACTGAGATCCCTTTCCAATATAGGGAGAAAACAGTGATATTAGATGTGATTGTCACAGATCATAAGTATTCTTATCTGAACTCTTCTTGCAAGCTGAGCCACTAGCTCCACTTCAAAGAAGGAGCTCCGATGCACAACAGTGCACTCTGTATTCCTCTCCCCGTTTGTTAAAAGGCAACAAATCCCTCCAACCTCTTCTTCTCGGGGAGAATGTTCAGGTCTCACCAGCATACAAATCTCAGGTCTTCCTCCACATCCTTGGAGATGGAGATTTTCACAGGTATTGCCCACTTGAGGCAAGACCGCTAGCCCTTCTGTCTCAAAGAATCCTCTCGTCTCAGGGAGGCCTGTCATCAAACACTCACCCTTTCCAGAAGTGATCGTGACCTGCTCCAGTCAACACCCGTGGCTGGTTCATAATACAGGTATTTGAGACAGGTAACCAGCAGAGCCTGAGTAAAGATTTAGCGCCCCCCCCCCCCCAAGATTTCACACATTTAGATGCCACTGATAATTAGTCTTGCTCACATTTGCTGAGCAATCCACATTCTGAGGTATTGCTTATGATTTCCACAAAACTGCTAACCCACCAGAAAGCCTATTTCCATGAGGACAGCTGTTTAATAGTAATCAGAGCTGCAGAGTTTCATCTGAGTGAAAAAGGAAAGCACAGACCCCCATGAAACAATTCTGCAACATACAGATTTCAGCTCACTCACATCTCCCAGTGGGGGACACAATTCCCTGAACGTAGTTTCCAAGCTATGTTCTACCTGGGCAGCTTTCAGACTCATCTGTCCACTTATCAGTGGAACTAAAATTCAGGAGGATTACCAGCTGACGCCATCTCAATGTGCTGCAGTACTTCCACTGACAGAAATATGCTGTTAGCTGCAGAGCTAACTCAGTGCAGGTCACTAACGATCTGGTGACAACTTCCCTGACAACAGCACATGGGCATATTAAACTAACTTGTGTTCTCCCAGAATATTCCTCCTTTCCCATGGAGACCAAAAAGAGAACCACTGTAGCTCATTTAGTGACAAATTTCTGGGGCCAAAGGCTGTTATTACCAGGAACATTGGCCCACCTACACAAAGCAAACATCAACATGCCTTCTGCAGCTCTCAGTAATATTCCAGAGCTTTACTTGCAGTCTGGACTCATTCTCTTACTCTGCACCTGAAGGTCAGGGAATGGGACTCCATCACCATTTCACTGAGCACAGCTCCCCCAGGGATCCAGCTTCCTGCTCCTCTCCAATCTGCCTCCCACTAAGGAATACCTGCACACGTGAAGGACGCAGCAGTGACAGCGCCTTCGGCGGAGGAAGCAACATAACCAGCACCAGAAGGCTTGGAGCATCTGTTCCAAGTTTCCAAAAAGATCCAAGGTCCTGATTTCTGCAGTAATACATCCAGAGATGGATGCTGCCCCATCCAGCTGAGGGTGGTTCACTCACACAGCTCTTCCGTTAACGGAGCACCGTAAGATGCCAGTGAACCTGACCAAGATCAGGAGGAGAGCCTGCACATTCCAGTCAAGTTTCATTCTGTGCTGGGAGCACTGACAGCTGAAATGCAGTTCCCGTTCCAGACATCACATGTTCTTTCAACACAGATCTGTGGCACCAATGCTTTTTCCTGCCCCCAAGAACCTGCTGATAGCAGCATAGAGAACTCCACAGCCACTTATAGGTCATTTGAGTGATCCACAAGGCCACTTGTGCAGAAGCAGTCTTCCTTCCTGCTCCCGTGTGAGATTTCTGAGCACAAGTTCCACAGCAAGAGGGAAAGACAACTCACTGCAGGCATGTAACATCAGAAGCAAGAGAAACAGATTTCTCAATGTGCTTCTCTGTCCCAGGAGACTCGCAACCCACCCGAACACCCTAGACTTCCTCTGTGCTTTGGCACTATTTCCAGCAGTCACGCACATCACTTAATTCAACCCCTTCAACTCACTGTTTACCTTCTTCCTGGAAACATGCCAGAAGAGGTAGGAGGCAGCCTGCATCTTCAAACCACTATTTGGGCCCAAAAAAGCCTGTTGTAGAGTCTCATGTCAAAAAATATACCCTAACCACAGTGACCTGCACAAAGGATGGAGGTGGGCGGAAGGTGACTGCAGCAGCTTTAAAATTCTGAAATGGAAGTGAGGTGGTATGGAGGCTGATGGAGCAATTGCTAAGCTTCAAATTAATAAAAAAATAACTAGATACATAGAGATTGGTATTCAACTTCCAATCTTAGTCTGCAACAGCAGCCATTGAGAAGCTAAAGTTCGAGTGCTGAGAGCCGAGGCAGCTTTTGCTAAAGCTCTTTCTACTAGTGCTGCCGCAGCGACACAGAGGAAGGAGCGCCAGCCCTCCCCTTTGTTGGTAACTCACTGTGTCAAACCCAGCTCTTGAAATAACAGCGGGAAGGGCTACAAATAACAACGGAATCTTTAAACTATCTGGTAAAGTGGATGGACAATGTGAACTGCCACAGTATTTACTGTCAAACAGCGAGGGTAAAGATGGATTTCAAACATCCATATTCATGTCCATCCTGCAGTTCTCTAATACAAGAACAATTACAAAAGACATGCACGGTTTTCTTTTGAAAGTCAGACTGCATCTTTCATCTGGGCGCCGAAATTGAATATTTACTTCACAAGATCTCACTGTTAAAAGCCCACGTCACCTTTTGCTCTCAAGGGAGAACATGAGAGCCAAACCTTTGAAAATCGGCCAGCTCCGTCCCCAGAGGGCAGCACCGAAGGAGCAGACTCAACTGTTTCAAACCAGTCAGGCAGAGCGACACGCTGCTCGCACCAACCAACTCTAAAGACAAAGTTGGCCCGAGCTGTAACCTGTCATTAGCACGCCAACCAGTAACGATGAAAGAGCTGCCATTCCGTCAGGAGAACATCACATGGTTGGAGAGAGGAGACTGAAAAGCTCCAAGGATTAAGGATTATTGCAGCTGCTACGAGAAAACTCGCCAATCTGAAGATGCAATGGTGAACTAGAGCACCCAGGACAGCAGGCTAGCTACGATCTTGTGACCTCCACAGGACAAGTTTCAGGCCCTACCCATTTCAAACAGATAAAAGATAAATAGTCTTGCAATTTCACGTGGGATTGTGAGAGAAAAACAAAACATTTCAAGCGAATCCTGAGCGCTCCTGACTTCAGCAGTTCCATACACAGGTCAAAGAAACTGAAGTTAGAATTGTGATTGCTCCTTGGGCACAGAAAGTCTGATCTCTCCTACAAGTTACCTATGATGCACTGATGAGGCCTGAAATGTTGTACCAACATCAGCATCACCGCAATTCCTTATTACAGAAAATATACTTACTGTTCCGGCCAGGATATCATGAGGACAGCAATCCAGAAGGTGGCTCTTGCAAACACGATCGTCTGTAAACTTCACCCTTTGTCTGGTTTCATCTCCTGAAATTCATTTGTGGTTTTAAATAAGGAGACATTAGAATACCGATAAGAGAACAAAGATGTCGGTACGATCATTTCACCTCATTATGCAGATTAAAATACTTGGTGTTCCTGTTCCCCAAAATTACTCGAAAAAAGCTTTGAGGGTAACAGGACATTCTGGAACACTTGTAATTGGCAACAAACACTATTTTAGCATTTATTCATCCAGCACACCATGTTAAACACAGTGTTGGCAAGCCAAGTAACATCCAAGGCCTGTCGTCCATATAAAGAGACAGCACAGCCAGAAGAGAAAAAAAGGAGACAGACAGTCTGGCTCGCAGCCAAAACCATTTTATTTTTTTTCCTCCCCCTTTTTTTTTTACTGTGAGGAAGGGGTAGGAGATACCAAAACCCACGCTACCGGAGGGCCAGGAATCACAAAACAGGGCTGTGCTGGACAGTTTTTACAGGCGCTTGCTATTTGCTCATCTGATAATTAAGTCATCGGTCCATTTGGTTTGAAAACCAAATATGCAGTGTGCTTTCCAAGGCCGGGCAAAGAAGAATCTTGTAGGTCTTGGCCTGGAACATGAAGCGTGCTTCCCACCCACGTCCCACCCTCAGAAGACATTTTACACTCAGGAGCCACTTAAACAAGACAATATCAGAAAAGCAAAAAAATAAAAAATAAAAAAGATACAAAGTTAGTCAATACACACTGCGAGCTCCAACATATACTATACCCATCTGCATTCTTCAAGACCTCAGCTGCAGAATTTTATGCCCACTGTTGAAAAGTTTTAAAGGAAAAGTTTTCTTGCCCACACCTGCAGTAAGGAAGTCAGGGGAATGATACATAAAAGTAAAGGCAAAGTGGTAATGGTATGTGACAATTTTAAAGCTCATCTGTGTATATGACACAGGTATGTGTAATACTAAAGTATGAATATAGTTTAGGATTTGCAAGCATCCAGGAATAATGTTGTGTCTACTGAAAATGGTTTTTTTTTTTTTTTTTTTCTTTCTAAGCTACACTTTTAAAATTACTTGTGAAAAAAAGCAAACACTTTTTTTTTTTTGTTATAACAGCTTTAAAAATTGGTTGTGACTCACGGCTCGATGAACATGAGGCTTTTCTGCAACTCCCTTGCAGATTGATGTAGGCAGGCAAAGATACACTGAACCTTTATAAATAAAATAGAGGGGCCACAATTGTTCAGTTTGTATGAAATAAAAATATGGGAAGCAATTCAATAGCAACTCAATACACAAAGAAAGAAAAGCACTTATTCACTTACGAAACAAAGTGCAAAGTACCTGAACAGCCCTGCTAACGTGCCAAAGGGAATTTAAGTACTCAGCAAGTCGCAGAAGGGAGATACCAACCGCAGCGGGAACGTATTTTGCACAGGCTGCCACATTTCTTTTCTTGGACAACAACTACAACGGCCGGCTCCTGCAGGCACACCTACCTACATGCCTCTACCTACGGCGTGGCCTGGGCACGGCGCTTTCCCTAAAACCTCTCTGCGGCA